CCAGTCCAACCCATCTTCTGCTCGAAACCAGCAAAGCAGCAACACTATGGGCGATAAATTGTCGAAAGCTGGTCAGGTTAGTGAACTTTGTATGATGTAAAACAGCGTTAGTCATGCTTTAAATACTTTTACGAAACAGAACCTGAAGGAAGGCAATTATCAAGGCGCTAAAGAAGATATTAAGGGCGCTTTCCATAGTCAAGGCAGCGATCAAAGCCACCCTTCTAACTAAATGGCTATTTAGCTTGCTTCCTATACAATAAAGTTAGCAAATATTACGTTTCTTTTTTTTTTTTTAATTAAGCTCTTAATTTTATGCCATTAAAAGATGAATATTTTTGTAAAGGCCGAAAGTTTTAACTTTTGTTTTGAAGACTCCTCAACTAAAATTCTCAAAGTGCGTTACATAAGTACCGCCTTTTAGTTATGTATTCAAATTACATCTCAATACTGCGTGAGTGCATAACTACCGATGTCTACCAATGCTATAGTTTGTAAGCCTTGGCCTGTATCCTACGATTTTTTAAAAAATATTGACGGCGAGCCTGCAAAGCTGAGCTCTTCTAATAACTATAGTCCAACTTTTTGGCGTAAGGTACAGTTAAGCTCATGCTAGCGCTTATAAAAAATTATATTAGCTATTCTAAAAAGCAAAGCTCGTTTGATAACTATACTCTTTAACTTTTTTGAGGTGCATTTAAAACAAAAAAGTTTAAGACTCAACCCGCTTCCGTAATATTTCACTGCGAAGGCTTAGAATGTCTCTCGATTTGCTTTTGCCTTCATTCAAAGGTGTTCATATTGAATCAATTCATAAAGAACTTAGATTGTTCCAATGTTGGTTGAAACAGTCGAATACGCAATCCAATCTTTGTACCTGAAAAATTAAAAGTGTAAAATTTAATTGAACGAAAATAATTTAAAAGAACTATTGTATCTAGTTAAGTCTTAGCTCAGCACCCGAGAAGTTCATTGTGGCGAGATAAATAGCGCTTGCTTCCTATAAATGATGCAGTACCGTATCTACTTATTGTACAGCAGAACTATTATCAGGAAGCTCTCTTTCGAGCTTATATAATATTGTAGTTTCATTATCTACTTTTGAGACAGATGTTAACAAAACTTTTCCTCAAAACAGTGCGAAAATGAAAAACCTTAATTATTCTCTACTTTTTAAAAATCTAAACAGCTGGTCGAAATCTAAAATAGATCCTAATTTACTACATCACACATAATGCTGTAAACTTTATTTCAGCTTTCCTTTTTCATAAGTTGACTTTAAGGTGTACGACACTGATATAAGATGAGAAATAAAAACAGGAAACTGATTACACTTACCTCCAAACCCTCCAGTATATTGCATTAAGGAGATACTTAAGTTTGTTTCTATCTCATTATATGTAATAAACTTATTTATTACTGCCATTTAATAATATATATCTAACTTTACATTGAAATCAGTGACTTTCCAAATCTTTCTTTAGTTTTACCAAATAATTATGTTTTTACTTTGGACAGAGTTATTATTTTACTGCTGTTAACTTTCTTAAGGTTCTAGATTGTTCAGTATTTTATTGCTTTTATTACTTTCTTAGAAAATACTGTAGTTTATTTGACAATTTGTATAAATTTTATATAATATTTTTTTAATTCATTAGTAACAAAGTTTATATAGTGCTAATCATATAAAATTAACAATTGTATTATTTAAAAAATTATAGTTGTTATAAGTAAGATTTTCACTACAGCTAAACCCCTTAAACGTTTTCTTGATCTAAATTTTCTTTACTTTTATGTATATCCATTTTGGTTATTATATTTTAATTATATATTACATAGCTGTTTTGCCATAATTGTTAAAGTATCCGTTTAATAGGCGAAACCACTTAGTATTTAACGAACAAAAATTCGAAATTATTATAAAAGCTATTAACGAACGAAAAATTTACTGTAAAATAAATTAATTTTTCGTTCTTGATAAAATTGAATTATTATAAACTACAGTTTTCGAATTTTTACAATTTTTTAAGGAAACTTGATCTATTAACTAAATTTTGTTAAAATTTAACTTTATTTTGGCCTTTAGCTTAGCTTTTACCAAAGTTTGAAACTCCAATTTCCTTTCTTTATATACAATCTCTAAAGGCTCTTTGCTCTGATACGAATTTTGTTTAGAGTATTTTACATTTAATATTACTAGACTTATTTAGAGAGATTGTATTTCAACAAAAAAAGTTCGCGTATACTTCTTTTTGTTTTTAAAAAAATTGGGATCATATTTTTTAATTTTTAATTTTTCACTATATAACTTGTTACCTTTAAGCGCTTTGGTCTTAATTTCAGTATTTAATATATAAGCTTCCACTCAAATTACTTAATTGCTTTTTTAACATAAACTTTTAGGTGTTTCAAAGTTGTGTAATTTTGATATTTTGTGAATTCTCGAATTTTATTAAAAATTGAGCCTTTACACAACTTTTGTAGTTGTTTATTGACACTATAACTAGTTTAAACATATTTTAGCGTAAAGCCGACTTTTGGTTAAAAGTGATTTTGAAACTGCCAGAGTAGAGCACTGCACCCTCTTTTTAAGCTCAGTATTTTTATGCTAAGGGACATTTCTGTTTTAAATTCTTTCCACGCCTAACTTCAATTTAAATTATTTTCAATATACAAACTAAATTTATATAATTTTCTTTTAAAATTATTGCTAAAGATTTAATAATTATTTTTAAGGATTATCCAGACCAGCATTTGGAATTCCACCTTTTGATTAACATAAGAATTTGTCCGCTCATCCTTTTTTATATTTGCTCAAGAATTTGTTTAGAGTACGTAAATAAATTTGGCAATTGTATTATCAGTTAATCCAAAATTAACTTATCCTTTTAATCTTAAACATACTAGCAAAAACTTATAATGCAATAACACGGTGTTATAATGACGCTCCTACGAAACTTCCAAACTTTGTGTTAAATAAACGCAAAATTAACTTTAATCAAAAACTGCGTAGTTCTTACTATATTAATCAGCAAACTAGGTTATAAATTATTTATTTTTTGACACTTTAAGGTCAATTAAAAAAAATTTACTCTTGAAATTTAGTGTTTCAATAACAGTAAAACTTTATTTTAATCTTACAATGTAAGTTATTAAACTTTAAATAATTTAGATTTTTTATATAAAATTTTTTCAATATTTTACTATGAGTTAATAAATTTGTACTGTTCTTCTGTTTCTACTAAAATTATAATTGCTATTGATATTTTACTAACACTAAAGATTTTTGCTCTGTAGCTTAGAAGCGAAAATCTTCTGTGCTTTACTCTATAACTAAATATTACCAATACTTTAAAATAAAAAACTTGGAAATTAAATACTACTAATGCCTCAATCACCTTTTAGATTAACATGTGCATTATAACCTTTACAAAGTTTATCACTTACAAAGTATGGGCTTATTATTTTTGTTAGTATTCGATACTTTAACAATAGTATTATTGTCCCTCTAAAATCCACCTTTACCTTTATAAAGTGCTATTAGTTACAAAACTTAAAGTTTTACTTTTTATATATATTCATTAAAAAAAAACGTTTGAAAAAAATGTTTTATTCGGAAAAGTGCTTATTCAATTCAGTAGGGTGAAAGAAAACCATTTATAATTCTTATTAAATATTATGTTTATATAGAAGATAAACATTTGCCTAAATAAAATTCGTTTATACTTAACGTTGAATCATAGTAAAATTGCAGTAGATTAAAAAAAAAAATTATGTATTATTTTCGCCTGTAACCTTATTTCAGACTTTTTTTTGAAGGGACAATACGAATAGCGTACAGCAATTACATATTTAATAAAACATTATCACTAGCCGTTCATTCAATAGAAAAACTAAATTTTTGAAAAATCTGTTACCGCTATAAATTTTTAAAATTTTTACTTAGATATAAAATCTTTTTAAATTGTAAAGGCTAGAATATTCCCCTTCTAGCTTTCTTCTACTATGTTACTTTTTATTAAAAACTCTTCCAGTATTAATAAAGTAGTAACTCCTTAATTATAACCCTTTTAAGGTTTCCGTTTTGCTTTAAAGTTGTAACTTGAAAAAACAGAGTATCCCCCCTTAGGAAATCACAATTCTACAAAGATTTTTATATTTCTATAATATATATTCTATTTTAAAAAAGGAGCTTAAGATTTTAAAACACAGAATGCTTATTTGCTGTAAGAGAATTTTTTATTCCAGATATGCCCTTCCTTTCACTATATAAAAGAAAATTAAAATCGGTAAAAAAGTGTGTGGTACACGCTACTCCCCATCTACTTTTTTGTTTATTATAGTAGACAATTTTTTTTGGCATATCTAAGAAAGCTAAGAGTAAATTAACAAAGTTTTAAAAAAACGAAAAGCCTTTTTAAAAATATGAGGTAAGGCCAGCCTTAACTTATAATATAAAAAGTATAATAAAAGCAGAACTATTATTTGAATAAGTGTATAGGCCCAATTAAAAATTTACCAGAAGAAATTAATCGACGGAAAAATTTAAAATAAGCTTGACTTTCCTACTTTGCAAAAGCAGGGCATAAATTTTTAATATCTTTAGTAATATAAACAGTCTCCTACTTGAAAACAAGGATTTCAGGTTTATAGGCCCAAATACAGAAGTTAGTATGAGAAAACAATTGTAAAGAATTAAAAAAAACTTGCATATTTTGCAATTGCAGAGCGTATAAACTCTAAAATCTTGGAAAATATATATTTATTTATTTGTATTAAACAGCTATTCCAGATTTATAAGTCAAAATAAAAAGTTAGTATAAAAAAAAAAAAACAAAGAACCCTAAAACAAGCACAAACTTCCTATTGTGCAAAGACAGTAAAAAAAACTTAATTTTGACAAAAATTTATTTAAATTTTTCAAGAAAAACATCAATTCATAAATCTACAAAGCACGCGAGAAATAGGTAAAAAATATATACTTTTTTATGTTAACATCCTGTTGGCTTTTCTTTAGTAGTATCGTACGCGCGTATGATATCCGCTTGCCCAAAACTTTTCCCTTCGCGTTCTTCCTGGGAAAAAGCGTAGCCCCGCCAAGCACGTGTCTTCAAAAGAGGCAATTTTTTCAAGGCGCGCTGGAACGAAAAAGCAAAACTTTGCAGTGCGGGATCTCGATGCAACCTTTCCTATGAAAAAAAATTAAAGAGAATAAATAATAAAAAACGTCACGTGTTCAACCATTTCTTGTATCACGTGGTAGTCAGAAGGGAAGAAAAGCCGCTGGATAACTTTCCACACAAAATCGCGAGTGAGAGCAATACAGGTGACCAGAATAATAGTATAGTAAAATAAAGCACTTCCGAATAACTTATACTGGGCTCCGTGAATACCGCTGGCCACAGTATAACCTACCAATAGAGAGGTGGCGTTACAAATGTTTTAGCAAGCAGGACCAATTAAAAGGATGTATGCAAATATGCAAATACCGAAGCTGGGAAAAGCCGCGCAGTAGATAAATAGAAACGCGACGTACACAAGAACACTCACCCAAATGCTGATAAATTATTTTGTTTAAAAACGAACAACAAAAACTTTAACAGAAATATTATTATTCAAGTAATTATTTATACTTGTATACATAAAACAAATTTTTTATTATATAAAAATTTATGGAAAAATGTTTTTTATACCTTTAAAGTGAATATTAAATTTATATAAAAGGGAATAGGAAAACCTAATATGGGTGTAAACAGTCCACGAGTTGAATATTAGCGCAGCTTTTAACGTTACCTAAAAAATAGTGTTACAAATATAATAATTATGATAATAGTAATAATGATATTATAAATTTTATACGGTGAAAAAAACTGAAGTGTATACAGCGGTGGCCACAGTCCAGTGATCGGCCACGTGCCCGTTTTTTTGTATAATTTGGTTCTGATAAATACTAAAAGTCAGTAAATATATTAAAGCGGACTGACAGATGGCGTTGGTGCACCTGTTAAAGTAGATTTATTATTATTTTATTATTATTATACATAAAAACTCACCATTGCCAAAAAACATATGAATTAAAAAAGTGCGAGTGGATGCCACTTTGGTATAGTTGGGGAATTTTCATTAAAGTTGATGCTCTCAAAGTTCTTCGCCGTGTAAGTTTATATGAAATGTAAATAAACACAAGTGTTGAAGCCAAATTAACCAATAAAAAGTTTTAATTTCACGTGGGATAACCTATCAAATATCCCCATACAGAGCGGAGGAAGCGCTGTAAAGAGAACGTTGTAGAAGGCCAGCATCCACTCATCAAACAGGATTTGGCCCTGCAACAATGCAGAGTTATAGTGAAGTAACTCGCATACGAAAAAGCAGTCGAGCGAATACCGAGAAGCCATTGGCCATAGCAAACCAGAACTGGATTATGTATAAACAGATGTTCTTGTAAAAGGTGTACAAAACCACGTGAGCGATCCTACGGTACGACAGGTTCCCGTGCACGAGCAAAAGGCGCTTCAAAAAGCGGAACTGCGCAAATGAGTAGTCCGAGGCGCGCGCTGCTTGCAGACCCTCTTTGCCGCTCTAGATAGCTAGGGCATGAAAGAGCAGCACTAGATATACAATCGGCTAACGCACAATGCCTACGCCCACGTGGGCAGTCTGGAGCATGGTGACGTCATTGGCTCCATCTCCGATGGCCAACGTAATGGCATTGGTGGCTCCCCGGACAAGCTGGACGACGTGCGCTTTTTGAAGGGGAGACACGCGGCAGGCAACCACCGAATGGCACTTCAGCGCGAGCGTCACAAAAAAGTATTGAAGGCTCCCTTCCATGGAATATGCCAAAGAAACGCCATCAATGACAAGAGCGAGACAAGATTCTGACAAACAGGAGAAAAGGTATTTAGTAGCCCCGTGCCCTAGCAAATTACAAACGCAAGAAAGAACCTGGATTGGGCCGTTGGCGGTTACGCATCATCTGACGCGCATAATTAATATGATTAATCAGCCATTGATGGGTTTCCTCCCGGGTGCGGGTGTTGCATATCAGTAGGTCTGATTGGTGATTGAAGAGCTGGCTGGCGTATCCAATGTTGATGGCCGTCTCTTGTTTATCTCCGGTGAGCACCCATACCTTTTAAAAAAAAAGGGGCGATGAAAACTAGAAGAGCACTAATAGAATAGCGAATAAATCAAATATATTTCATTAAAAAAAAGAACTTTTATTCCCGCCGACAGAAGAGCCGAGAGTGTTTCTGGTATCTCTTCCTGGAGCTTATCCTCAATAGCAGTGCAGCCAAGAAGAAACATTTCCTAATATAAGGATTTCGATTTTTTCATTATTTTAATCAACCAATCAGATAATACCTTTTCTATCTTTTCGCAGGTCTGAGCAACCTCTTGTTCTCTATCGCCCAATGACCGACAAGCACTGTCAAAGTCTTCACTCCATTGGGCATACTCGTCTAACGTGGAAAATCAGGTGATAGCAGGATTATTAGTGAAACGGCCTTAGAAAAACCTTCTGAAAGTTCCGCCACGGCAATGCAGAGAGTTCGCAGTCCTTGACTAGCGAAGTACTCTAAGTGGCTGCATTATTCATTATAGTTAGTGTTACTCTTTATTATTGTTATCATTATTATTACTTTGCTGTAGCTTCTAAATATGGCTGGTCAGGCCCGAGCCTTTCAAATATAACATTATCGGCGCCTTTGCACATCAAAAGTATTCTATCTAATAAGTTTTATAATAATATAGTAATAGTAACATAATAGTTGTAACAAACTTTGCGGAGTGCGAACTATCACGGACATCCTCTTACGCGCAGAAGTAAATTCACATACTTTTAAAATTTCGTAAACCTTCAAGTAATAATAATAATAATAATAATAATAATAATAATAATAATAATAATAATAATAATAATAATAATAATAATAATAATAATAATAATAATAATAATGAAGACTTCGTCGTGGCCAAGAACGTTGATGATGACGTCCTTAGAAGTTCGCACGTTAAAGGAGAAGCCCAAACTTTTAACGCCGGAAACTAACGCGCCTTCGTCGGGAGACTGAGCTTGGTAACCAATTGTACCCGTATCATTCTAATAATATAGAGATTCAGTAAAAATAATGAAAAAAAGGGAATAATTAAGGCGACAAATAGGGGTATTTATAGAGATATACACGATGAACTTCGGGAATGACAGTATGGCAGACGGCAAGATTAGTAAGGAACTGGCGAATCACAGAAGCGTTGGGCGCTGTACTGCAGAGATCGTTAAGGAGTCGGGGATCAACAAAGTCGTGAATATCAGAGCGCAGCGCTATTTGACAACAAAAAATTACGTCCATGGGCAAGTAAGTACAATAGTTAATAAACCAGTCGTATTACATTAAAAACTAATAATAAAATGAAGCATAAATTGATTAACAACCGATCATCTAATACTTAGATAGGAAGAAATCGAATAAGAAGCGAGAAGAGGCACCTCCTTCTTGATCAAGGTATTCTGTTGGGACTCCCTCCGGAACTTTTTCGCCAGGAAGTATGCCATACATTTCTCCTCCAATGGAACACTACGAATCACGTTGTCATACACATATATCAATTTTTTTAATAAGTCGGAATAAATTATTATAATACGCATTATTATAAAAACAAAATTTACTTACTTTCCTGAAAACCATAACGTTCCTGGTTAGCGTCCCCGTCTTATCAGTAAATATATACTGCACTTGTCCAAGTTCCCCATTCAAACTCGAGGTCCTGACCGAGGCAGGCGTATCGGTTTCCTATAAGTGTGTTATTATTGACCTTATCATTATTATTATGAGTCGCACCGCATCGTATAATTCTAAATCCTTAGCGATCAACCACGTGGCCTGTACGTACTTCACGAACTCGAGGATAACTATCAGCGAAATGGGAACCATATTGTGGTACAGCACAATAAACGAGAGAAAGCGAAGGAAAAAGTTCCCCCCGTTTACACGCCCAAAGCCGAGATAGTAATGCTTATCCTGTATGGAAAAAAGCAGTACTGAGAAAACTTCTTTTTACTATTTATATAAAGTTTTTATATTTTTTAATGCTTATTATTATTAAGTTTCAATATTTTTATAAGCTTTTTAAAATAATTTCAATGAATGCTTATTCTGCAATAGCAACTTACAAATTATATTATTGTACAATTTCTACTATAAGGCAGTACTAGCAAAGTTATATAACATTTAAAGTTTTTACAGTTTTCTATGCTTCTTATTAACAAATCAAGTACTGTTTTTTGTACGAAAAAAGTAATATTAAGCAAAATCTCAAGTTTCTACAGTTTATCTACACTTTTTATATTTATAAGGAAAACCCAATTTTTTTTTATCCACGTTTCCGAAAAAATAAACGAGATGAGCGCCATTAGAAAAAGCATCAGCGTAATAAACAAAATTTGCTTGTTAGTAGCGTCGCCCATTTTGGACCGCTTTGAGGAATAATGTTTTGTATTTCGTATCAATTTAGAGTCTTTTCCGGTATAAATAACAGCGCCGTAAGCCCACTAAAGAAAGGTTTCTTTATTATAGACGAATAGCAGCGGCTGTAGAGACGAATTTCAGTCAATGCCTGTGTGTTGCGGAGTTGGCAGCCACGCAGCAAAAGTTGCTCGAAGCGGAGGGGCGCACTCACCAAGTCACCTCCAGAGCCTTTACACTTAAAAACGCCTTTGAAACTGTTCAAGTGGTGGTTCGGTTCTGCATTGTAATAGCAAATATAGATAATAATAGTAGTAATAGTTTAAAAAGATAATAAATAATATTATTAGACTTAAAAATAATATGTAATAAAAATAAAGTCAACTAATAAGAATAATAATAAAACAGTTTATAATAATAAGCATTAGTAATAGTCTTATGCGATAATAATGATATAATTAACAATATAAATAAGAAGTCAAGTGTCTATAATAATAACGAATAAGCATTAATACTAGTATTAGACGGCTTAATACTGAATAAGAGTAATAACAATAGTCTTAGGAAAATATATTAAATAATAAACATAATAATAATAGTCTTAAATAATAATAATAGCCAAAATAAATATAAATAACAATTTCTAATAATCTTAAATGATAGTAATACATATAATAATAACCTAATGATAATAATAAATATTACAAAAATTGTAACTTTTATAAATCAAAAAAAAACTTATTTATAATAAAAAAAGAAGTTTTATATAATTTTTTCTAATATTTCTAAAAAAAATAATTCTAAATAGAAATAATAATAATAAAACCTTCACAATCTATTAATCCACGAAAAAATCGTACGTCCCCCGAAGTCACTAAGTGAGTTGTAAGCGCACAACCCTATTGGATAATAAACAAAAATAATAATTATAAGTACTACATAAATGTAGTAAGTCAGACTTGCTTATATTTCAAGTTGGTTTCGCCGTCTATATTGGAGGTTTCCACGTAACAAGCGCCATTGGGTTCTGAAGATGACAAGAGAACCTGGAAAACGATTGGTGGAAAACAAAAAAACGTGAAATCACGTGCGCTACCAAGTCCGCTGGAAACAACTCATCGGTAATCACACGAACGATATCTCCCACTCGAACCTGCACAAAACGCAATAAATAATATAATTCCTAACTACTTATTAATGTTTCCTATAATTTTTTATATTATAAATACTTACTATTATTTTATATTTTTAAATTTTATTTACTTTTTTATTTATTTATTTTTTAAATCAACTAAATTTGGTTAATTCAAACAATTATTTATTTAAAAATCTAAAGGATGAGTTTCAACTTATGAATCCTCGATGTACTACTAGTAATTTATCTAACTTATTTCATACTAATTTTATACAAAAGTATTTCCTTATAATTGCTATAAAAGATTTGAGTACTGTAGTAATATCCAAATTCACTTACTTTGCTCCAAGCAATTGTCTGAAATGCTCCATTTCGAAAAGTTCGTATAAGCCGCTTATCGACTTCCTTATCTGCCTGATGCCGTTTCTTTTTTTAATAAATGTATAAATTAATTATTATTTTAAAAAACTTTTACATAAATTTATTAAAAATATATATTTTATTACGTAATCTTCCAAAATTTCTTTAATTGCTGTAATACCCAAAACGACTAGTAGAGGAATAAGAGTGGACCAACGGCCGGTAGGAGAAAGATCGGGAATTTGCTATTATATAAATTTATTAATAGCCCAATTTTTATTTAATTAATATTTAAAGCTAAATTTTATAAAAAAATTTAAAGAAAGACCTGGATTATGATTATAAAGGCAAAGAATAAGTTAACATATAGTGAAAACTGTTGAAATAAGAACAACGGAAGAAAAGTTGAAATTGAATATTTAGATGTTTTAACAGAGTTGTTAGGAAACTTGAAATTATCGTTGAGATCCTTAAAAAGTATTATTATATTAATTTGAAATTCTAGTTTTATAGTTAGAGTAAATAAATACGGGTTCGTTAAGGTAAACAGTACGGTGCGCCGCAGAGGGTTTAGAGTAATACGAGTCGCTTTCAAAACTTTCTGGATTTAAAATTTTTTTAATAACTTAATTATATCGTAATTCCAATGAAAACTTACCACCACTCTGGAAGCGCTGATATTGTTTAGACGTCATATGACACAAGATTTAATACTAATATGAAGAATGGCGAAAGGTAAAACATTACTCTTAAACGCGTTTTTTTTTAGCCTTTAAGATTTTTTATTACAAATAACAACCTTTAAACTTTTCAGTTGTTTCCAAATATGACAGGCCTTTAGCGAATAGTGGGAAATAACCAAATAAAGGCTTAACCTACAATTAAATAAGTCATGTTGCCTTCTTGAATTTGAAGGCAATAGGCATTGTCTTTCTATTAGTATAAATGGCACGCTATAACTCCATAAGAATTTTTGGGGGCAACGAGTAAACCATCAAAATCGGGGAGAAAAAGGAGCCACCTCGGTGTAAAAATGCTCGTATGCTGAACGATAGGTTTTTTCAGTTTCTCTGCTAACAATTTTGTTGTCGCTCTTTAAAATGTACCCACTTACTATTTGGCCTTAACCTGCTGGTTTTGCAAATTTTTGCGAACCGCTTTCCCTCTTGTTATTTTACAACGTACTTAAAGCTTACTATTAATGTCTCATCTTTAGTTACGTTTAAGCAGTATGTTTCTTCTATTATTCATGCTCTTTGCACTTTATGTGTGCGACGTACCCCAGCCCGGTCATCTTCACACGCAGGTCGCATTGTAAGGAAATACGGCAATTCGCTCCTCGGCAACGTCGCCCCTCTCTAGTTACGATCGCTAAGTTGCGTCGTCGTTGGAAACTCACTATTAAAAGTCAAGCCCTTTTCACCATTGACAATGTTATAATGACGACCGCCACAATATCTTTGTATTAAAACTTTGAACCTTTTACTTTGTTGCGCAACAAGCAACACATATATGTTTAGTGTATATGACCAATCATGATCTACACCTCTGCGTTTAATGGTCCGTTAAAATACTATACATACACGCATATATAAAACACGATAAAATTTTTTCTAACTCCCAGTATTTTTTTTATTACATTTTTAATACTTTACATCAAAAGTTCCAGCTTGAATCTTTGACCACCGTTTTCCGATGCACTGCTATAATCAATTTACGAACAAAACAGGCGGAAGAGCTCAGTTAAGAGTCATGGGACGACGCACACTATTCGCGTCAGCCAGTGCGGTTCGAATATTTGTTGTATTATCATAGGGGTTAGTGCTGAAGGTTAAAAAAAACCAGGTGAGTTTCTCTAATCCATGCTCAAATTTATTTGTACTTATCATTAGGTTTATAGTTTAAAACTTCGATAATCATTGACCAGATTGAGTATATGTAAATAGCACATATTTTATAAAACTGTAAAAGAAATAAATATTATGATGAAAAGCTTACAAGTTTGTATTACTATTTCTTTTAAAATCCTAGGCCTCCTTGTAATAAACTACTAATAAGTCCTTTACAATATGTACATATATTAATTAATTTTGGCAAATTAAATAATTAACTCGACACAAACACGTCCGGAAGTGCTAAGTTTAGGAAAGTAACGGTACGCGAAACCCTACAAAAAAATGTTAATTTAGAAAATTTTAGGGCAAAAATTATTACCAAAAAGGAAGCTCATCAATTAGCAGAACCGAAAACTTAGGGTTTAGTGTACAAATCTGTTAATAAAGTAACCCTTAATAGCTTAAATTTGTTTTTTCCTAACTATCACGTTATAAGCATGAACTTGTGCTCAACGGAAAAGTACAAGCGGGCAAGCTCCCACATCATTGAGTTAAAGACCTAAAACTAGTTATTACCGCACGTGAATTAAGGGGAAGCTTTTACTATGCATTAAGCGAAGACCGTTTGTGTTGTACGATAATGACTTCAAACCAGCTGCCTGGGCCTACTTCTCTTTAGCAATATCGTTTATGTTACGATACCACAGAATGAATGGTTGCTCCTAATTAACGAGCTTTGGTTTGGTGCAGTGATACTATACATCGCGGACTACAGGATGAGCCGTTGCCCCACAATCTTTAAAGCAATGTCGTCGCCTTTTAGGAATGCATAGCCGGGCACATTATTATATCTTAGCGGAAGGACTTACTTACAATCGTGGAACGGTGTACAATAACAACCTTCGCTTGATGCGGTAAAGTGAGAGTTGAATAAATGAGAAGGGCACATGAAAAAGTATAAAATTCAAACTTAATATTTTTTGTGGGGAGACAAATTTTTTATCAGCTCTAGTAATCGAAGTTGTTAACTCATTTAAGTACTAGAAAACTTTATATCACAATCAATAAACTTGTTATGCTAAGGTGCTTTTCTATCTTGATAATTTATTCTTTGTTTTTATGTATATATAAAGGAAAGTTAGGATTTAAATAAACTACAGCCGCCCTCGTCCTAAAATACATTCTACATTTGTTAATTATGAAACCTTGTAGGGCAATAGAGCTATTATACTGTACTTAAACAACTTTTTGATATATATATATATATATATGTGTAGTATAAGGCTTTTGGATAAAACTTGATACGCTAAAATATTTTACTTAGGTAAAATAAGCGCTTTTTAAGATTTGGCACATAAAAACCATAAGGGTATAGAAAAAAATAGATTTGTTATATGTGAACTTTTACGTTTCGAAGAAATTTTTATTGGCCGTAACAATGAGCTACTTATCCGAATAACACTACAATATATGTAGTGTTAGGGAACTTGAGCAGAGCCCGTAATTCTTTCCTTCTTTAAGTGTGCGTAAACAAAACTTTAGAAGATTTAAAAACCCTTAAATAACTCAAATGTTTTTTTTACTTCATTAACTTATCTAAATCATACATAAATATAAATTTTATAATATACTAGTTCTATAAGCAAATGGTTTAAATCAACAGGATTCAACGCAATGCAAAACATAAACATAAACTCATCAAAAACGGTTTTATTTAAAACAAAAACTGGCGTTATTAACTTGCATAGCGACACTTTCCATAAATGCATTTATTTGAAAGAGCTATAGTGAAAAGTAACGAAAGTTAATGCACGCCCAAATGAAAATAAGTTTTTAGTATTGCGTAAGTGCCAACTCTATTAGTTATAAATATTAATAGTATGCAGGCATGTGAGCGGCGTATACTACCTCAAAGACGACGTACCCGTTCGAAAGATTAAAAACTATAGGGTATAGTGACTAGTTCTGCCTTTCCCTTTATCGTAACAAATTACGCAAAGCGGGCTTCAGAACTAACAATATATAATGAACAATCTTTTCACTTCTGTACCGGATGGAAGATTAACAAATGTGAAGATTATTAAGCTAATGGCAACGGGTTTTATTAAGATAAATTGCATATTAAAAAGAAAATGTACTTTGCAGAAACCTTTTAGATGAGCGCAGAGTTCAATGGACAGTTTTTCCATTGAGCTATGTTAATGATTTCTTTGAATATCAATAATAAATAGACGTGGAGGCCGCTGGTCGTAAAGATAATGATATATGGGAGCGAGTACTTGAACACGAAAGTTAGGTCATGGCTCTCTTAAAGTTTAGTAAAATGTCGGTAAAGAAAGTTAGTAAAGGAAAAGAACGATAAAGTGAGAAGCTAACGCCGGTTTTAAAGCACATGAAACCGTCTTAAAAAAAAAAAAGGAAGGGAAGAGCAGCCTTCTTCAATTGATAATTATTAATTTATGTTATATACCTAAAATGCGATTCTTTTTAAACCATTTGATATTCTTTATAAAAGAATTTAAAAATGAGTGGGTAATAACTTGTAGTAAACTTGCTTAGTAGAGAAATTTTAGGTACGTTCGTACACAGTTTTTGGACTCAAGATTTAGTTTAAAGGCTTGCAATCGCTAGAAAGTCCCTCATTTTTCTGAATCCTTCCGTTTTCTTTATAAATAATTTTATTAATTTTTTACTTATGTTTATATTTGTTTCTTTTATATATATTATATAATTTTTTCTAGTTTTGTTATCATTAAGAACTTATAAAACTTTAAGGCTTTTCATTATAATAAGAACATAATAAGGACCTAACTACTTTTAATA